GCCTTGATAGAACCGGGCTTTCAAGAGAATTCCTTTGAGAACCGAGTTCTTCATGTAAAACCGGGTTATTGTGCAAAACCTACTTTCTATAACCATATACCCCTAATTTGCTGACAGGTGGCAATCCAAGATGGGCACAGAAAGGCTGGGATGCTTTCAGAAGGTTCTCAAATTCAGGTTCAGGGATCCGATAGCATTAAAGTGCCGCCAACGGCAACAGGAAGGATCAGGCAGCTGCGGGCTCCGTGCAGCACATCTCCCTTCTTTTCTCGATCGACATCTCTCTGTGTCCGGGTCAGAGTGCGTCCTGCCGCGTCCTGCCACAGGAGGATGACCATGTGCTTCAGGGATCGAGTTATTGAGCGTTATTCAAAGTTGGTCTTGATTCATGGGCCCACAAACAATTTAAGCTCAAGATCTGCGGGCCTTTCGTTGCGACTTGTGTAGTACACATGGCTACACCACGTTATTCAGCTGATGGCTTGGCTTCAGAGTGGGACTCCACGGATTCCGTTCGAGATCGCGTGCGTGGAGGTGGTTTTCTTGAAGATGCTACGTTCGGGGTGGATTCAATAACTGTCAAGAACGCTGTGCTGAACATGGCAGTGGCAGTTCCTTTGCTTGTTCGGCTGGTGGCAGCGGACTTGCAGCTCCCTCCTGTGGATGCTCTTAGGGCCGAAGTTGCTGAGCTGTATTCGAAAAACTCTCGCGAGGTCACGGATGCACAGATTGATGATTCTGCTTGGTTCTGCCGCAAACTGGTAGCTTTTATCAAGATGAAAGCCCAAAAGAAGCTTGTCAGTCTTGTGCCTCTCCTGAAAAATGGCAAATTTCTAAGATGGAATCTTGTACATTAAAGTGGGGTAACCCTGCATGGTATAGAATTGCGCAAGCTTCCTTGTGCAGGATTCGGACTTCCAGGAACTTTGCCTGATTGTCAACCCGATGCTTCAGGACTTGGCCTCTTAAAGTCATGCACTCACTGACATGCAGAAGTGTGAGCAGCACTGAATTTCCAGAAGCCCATCAGGAACCCAAGCAAACATAGAAACATCCCCGAAACAAGTT